AAGCCAGCACGCTGGCTGCCATCATAGTTGAAGTGGGTAAGCCAGCACGCTGGCTGCCATTGTCCAGATGGCAAAGCCAGCACGCTGGCTGCCATCATAGTTGAAGTGGGTAAGCCAGCACGCTGGCTGCCATTGTCCCCTTACCAGCAGCCCAAATGCTCACGACGATGAGCTGGGCTGTCACCGCTTGGCCGCCGGTGGGGGGTTTGGGAGGCCGCATCGCACACAGACACCCACACACTCCCTCAACTTCCACGAACACACACATACGCAGACTCGTTTCCACACGGACATAGACACACGCACAGAAACCCACACACTACCTCAACTCACTCGACTTAACACTTCTCACTACACACTTACCGGATAACTCGCACTCTGATTTCCTACGTGATGAAAAATGCTTTCGGGCCACTCGTCGTCTAGTTTCTGTGGTCCATCGATCAGGTGAGACTCAAAAATGAAAAACGGAGAAAACGTCACCATCCAAATCAGTGGGGGGTGGAACCCACGGTCGTGATGGTGAGAGCGTGCAACCAACCCAAGTGGACACGGGGTGCTCAATGGAGATCCACAAGAAGTGTACCTAGGGTATCTTTTTGGAGACCCCGTCAGTGAGGGTGCTGGTATGGTTCAACCCCGTCCTTAAAAGTCCACGAGCTGGCACAATTCGCCCGCGCCCAGCGGCACCGGGCACAGCTGGCTCCTTTAGTAGACCTCCGTGACCTGAACTCGGAACTTCCGACACTTGACTCATGAACTACCCCAGCGACACGACAGTCCTAATCCACCCTCAAAGGCGTTGTGGAATGTTCAGGGTGGGCAGGTCGCAAATCTGTGGGCCGTGGGGGTTGGAGGTGACCCAATGATGGACGCTCGGTGGCGAAAAATGGCAACGCAACCCTGGCGGACGGAAGTCCGACCCACTGACGGAGTACTGCGCACGACTCCTCCCACAGGAACACGAGAACGCAATGCACAATGATTTAATATCTATATATATGTATATATAGGTTTAGACGAAATGGCGAAATTCCCCCAAAGTCGGAGGGGGTCTGAGAAGATGTCCTTACAAATTTGCTTTGAAGACCCCTGCAAGACCACCCCAACACCTGTCAGCACAGCACGTTCAATAGGCGAACAACTCGAACTTTGTGGGGAGCTTTCGCTGGGACAGGACTGAGATGGACTTGGCTGGAGATCCCTGATAGTAGTGCAGGGTATAGTCACTATCACTATAGTCCATTGGACACCCATCGAACGGTCATATCTATTGAACCTAAAGGTCATGGTCATATCGCGCGGTGTTTCTCTAGTCTATGCCACACGTGTGGCCACACGTGGTGGCCGCTCACTGAAAAAATCCCACACACTGGCTGGGGTCTCCCACATATCGGCCGGACAGCTGCAGGCTTTCCATCTTCTTGTGCGCTTCATGGTTCGTCAGACCTCCGTCCCGGCAGATCTGGGGGACAGAAAGGACATGTCGGCCAACACATGGTCAGCACCTGCATGAATATCACCCCCAAAGCTATTTCCAGTGCTTGTAGTTGGGATAGCCTTGGGCTGGCTCAGCCAGCCAAACCAAACCCTGAGCTCCATAGAAACTGCTCAAATCGGGCGGCCTGCCCGCTTCCGGAAGAATGCCACCGCCCCTCAAACCTGGCAGATAAAATCCCGGCACTAGCCTCAACCAAACCACCCCCTGGAAACCGAGTCCCACCCAGAAAGGATGTTTCTCCAGTCCCAGCCATTTCCTGTATTACTATATGTCCTATGTATCTCAAGCTGGCGCCATAGACTGGGTTTCCAACCACTTCTTTCTGCTTGAGACTGGGTCACCCCCAGGTCGGTTTTCCCCCCCCCCCCAGCGGCAGTTGCTCAGCCCAGCGGCCGCCCTTGGTCTCGAAGATCTGAATCAGCGCGGCGAAGACGTCCTCCACCGAACGGGGCGCCCCCACCAGTGCTGCGTCCATGGTCTGCCCCGAAAGAAAAGAAAGCTGGGAAGTCCAGAAGCTCTTGGGAAGTCAAGAAGCTCGAGCAGAACCCGTTTTGGGGCTGCAAATGGGATAGGCTCCCGGTTATGAGATAGGAACATGCATGTTTCTGGGTTTAGGTGATTGACTGTTATGAGTCATGAGCAACTCTTGGGAGCGGTTGGAGCAAGATGAGCAAGTCGCGATCAAAACTTGGAATAGAACACCCAACACATCTCATGCTGTGTGACCTAGGGCAAAGCCAGGCAGTCTACATCTGTGTGCTCCAAATAGTCTTTTTGCGCAACTCTCAACATGTATTCATGCCAGAACCCAGTTGATGCTTGCTTTTTATAAGAAAGGGCAATGCCTTAGGTATGCATGAGCCTGTGAAGATCTGTGAGTTCTCCAGTCTACTGGGGAGATTTCCAGGCGAAACCTGAGCCAAAAAAAGAAGTACATTGCACAACGCTCTTGGAATTTGAGCCGCCCTTCGTCGCGGTCAGGTGCTGGAACGC